CCTCCCCCCCGGCTGCCTGCTCCGCTCGCCGCGAGGGCCTCCGGCTGGGTGGTCGCGGGGTCTGGCTGGACGGGAGGGAGGATGTGTCCGCGCATGGGCGCGCCCGTTGAATTGCTGGGTTGCTGCTCCATCCGCGGGAGCGAGCCCGGGGTGTCAGTCCTCTGCCCCGGCGTGGCTTCGCGGCGGACCGAGATTTCTGCCTTAATGCCCTGTTAGGCTTGACGGGGACGCGGAGGCGTGTGCACTCGCTGACACGGGGCCGGCCCTCTGCGCTTTATTGAAGGGAAGCGGCTCCGAGGTTGCTTTGGCTCAAGGGCATCTGCTGCGCCGCTCTCGGGTACCACTGGAGGCTTGGTCCTTCCTTATACTCTGGGCTGAGTTGTCCGACAGTCTTTTTCCACTCTTTTGTAACCTCGGTGGGGTAGATTGGCCGTTGAAGGGTGGAAGCCCTGGCAAGACCACCGATGGACCGACGCATTTTAGCTTCATGTGTTGTCCAGAACGTAGAAAATTGGGTTAAGTGGGTAAACCCATTGCTACATTAACTGTGGAAATATTGGATTATATTTACAGAGTTGTGTATAGTTCCTATTTCCAAGGGCATAACTTTGGCCACTGCGTGCACCTTTATTTTTGTCATAGATGACCTATTCAAGCAGGGAATTACTGTCTTAGAAAGTGTTGTAGAAGCAGGGAATGAAGGTATGTTAGGGTCTGAGGGTATATATTGTGTGCAGTGTGTGTATAAACACACACACACACACACACAGATAAGTGCAAGTGAAAACTGGTTATGAATTTTGTCAAAATAATATATTATTTTGACTTTTACTCCCATAATATATAGCATACATCTGTTGGGTGAGGATGGAGTAACTTCTGTCTCTCCTAACTTTGCCTGCTGGTGATGCTAATCAGAAGTTAGATAATCAGAGTTGTGGGCTCTGAATGAAGATGAGCATAACAGTAAAAAAATTTGTTATGTCTGTTGAATATTGACATGCAGTATTGTATCCAGAGGTGAGGGGGATTAATGTAAAACTGTGCATAATAACGAATATGAGTGATGTAAGTATATAAATGTATAGATACAATGTAAGGAATACGGATAAAAAGAGTACCATGTTGAGAACTGGAATGTCATCAAAACACCTTTTTAAAGTTTGGTTAACCATGTCTGGACCATGTAAAATACCTATAATTTTCTTTCATCACTGAGGGGTTGTGAGTTATTTATTGTATGAATAATTTCAATTATGCTTTTCAATAAAAATGCTTTGGGTAGGTTGGTAAATGAAAAGATATTGTGAATATATATTGAAAAATACAAAAAATAAGAGATTATATTGCTATGAGCATGGGCCAAGAAGTGATTGGACAATTGGAAAGTATATTTCGTGAGAATATGTGCAGGCATTTGAGGCTGCATTAGCATGCAAAGTAGAATGCTGAGTCTGAGGAAAAGATGATATGTACCTAGCAACTGTGTACTGAAAGGTTGTAAATGGAGAGTATAATTTGTTTGGAAATTTGCAAATGGGGAGTGAGGGCTCTAGCTGGAAGGCATATGCAGTCACAGATTTAAATCTTGATTATAGGCCACCAAATAGGTGGGATGCAAAGCTGCTCAAAGTGTAGGCTTTGGTAACCATTTAGATTTGCTGAAATTGGAATACCACAATGGATGTGATTAGCCTAGCTAGTAAAGCTAGAGGTAGACAGTAGCAAGAATGTATTGCTAGTTTGGGAAAGGGGCTCTAATAGGTGTGAGGTGCATTTGTACACTTTGAAAAACACTTTAGCATCTAATTTTCCAATCCTTTTTGGTAAGGATGGATGCAGGAACATTTTTTTTAGGGAAAATCCTTGTGTTGAGGGAAAGAGACTATGCTAAAATTGGATGTGGGAAGATGTGAGAGAATAAGAATTTTTACACTGCAAATAAAATATAGGAATAGTTTTGGGAGCAGAGCCTGACCATATTACATTTCTTTTTTAGGTATTTTTAATATAAAATGTTTGCTGGGCAAGTTGGCAAAAAATAAATTGGGACCTATTGATTTCTCTGCAGTACAGTACTTTTGCATGGATTTTTGAAGTTAATTGTTTGATCAAATTATCCCAAACCCTGCCCTAGGTTATTCTGCTAAAATGAAAAGTGTCTGGTAATTTGGTGTAGATATTTGTACAAAAAGATTGTGAGCTCTGTTTTACTTAAACAGTTATCTCAATGTTTTATTCTATAAGTGCCTGTCTTTTGCATCAGGCCCTAACTGACAGATCTTGGGACTGACTGGAAAGTAAAGAATTAACCAATGAGTCATGTTTTCACTTTCTAGACAAAGAAAGGCATACATTTTTATTTGAGAATGCAAGGTTTAAAATCTATTTAAAATTAATGAATATTAAAACCCCATTGTTAAATTGAGGGATTCCATGTTTAAATTCTTGTTTTGATTTCTTGTTTAGTAGTAGTATCAGGCTCATACTATTAATTCTGACCTATGGCCTTTTAATGTGTGTTTTGCTCCAGCCACAAACCAGTGGTTTCTTCCTGCTGTCAGAGGAGATATTCCACCAGGTTGTGCAGCCCATGGATTTGTCTGTGATGGTACCAGAATATTAGTATTTGGAGGAATGGTTGAATATGGAAGATATAGTAATGATTTGTATGAATTACAGGTATGGGTAATTTTCACAATTACTTAACTAGGTTGAGAATCCTGGGGTCATTTAATAAATTATATTCTTAGTGGGTGTCTATATTGTACTTAATAAAATTGGAAGAGATTGGTGAGCCAGTTTGGTATAGTAGTCAAGATACAAGGCTAGAAACTAGGAGACTATGAGTTCTAGTCCCGCCTTAAGTATAAAGCCAACTGGGTGACCTTGGGTTGGTCACTCTTAGTCCTAGGAAGGAGGCAAGGGCAAACCACTTCCAAAATCTTGCCAGCTGCAGGGACTTGCCCAGGCAGTCACCAGGAGTCAACCCTGACTTGAAGGCATCTCCCCCCCCCCCCCCAAAAGGAATGCATATTGCTTATAATGTGTGCTTGATGCATGGAAACAATGTATAGTTCTCCTGCCCATATGTATCCATAGCACCAGACTGACTTGGGATTTCCTTTGAAATAACTTTTGCCAAATAGAATCCCAGTTTATGGAAGATAAAATAAGCAAATCTTTATCTTCTGGATTCTGAAATGGCATCCATAGATCACAGTACACTCCCCAACACATTCTTTGGTGGCCACCAAGCCCTCTACCTCACTTTTTTATTATTTTTAACGGAAATGTGAAAGCTAACCTGCTGGAAATGAAAGAACCAGCCTCCATGATAACCTTTATTTCCATCAGGGCCTCTGGTCCTCACATAGGTTCTAGAAGCATTTTTAGAAAATTGACTGACTGAAGCCCAGTGCTTTGCTTGCCTTCTGGTGGATGAGAGTTTGGTGGCTGGCACCCACAATAGCAGCAATGTTGTAATTTTTAAACAATTTTGCTCACATTTCTCAACATGCTTTTATTTTAACTTCAAGGCAAGTCGATGGCTGTGGAAAAAAATGAGACCTCAGCCCCCTTCAGCAGGTTTGCCTCCATGCCCTCGCCTTGGCCATAGCTTCTCTCTGTATGGCAACAAGTGTTACTTATTTGGTGGACTGGCAAATGAGAGCGAAGACTCAAACAATAACATTCCCAGGTATGCTGATGAGTTTAGAACAGAATATTTAGTATGGTTTGTTTCTCACGTTTCGATAGCTGTATGGTAATAGCAGTTAGAATGTACATAGTGGGCCTATTTAGTGTTGAAACCTATTTGCAATTATTAATATCAAGGAAGATTAGCAATCAGCTGTTAAACTCTGATGATCCTTAAATTCAGAAATATGAAATACTAATACTCAAGCTTGATACTTGAAAATAACAACAAAAATATGCATATTAGTAGCATTTGGAGCAGTTTATATTAAAATTATCTTAAATGTATAATGAGATATGGTTTGATGGTTTTCATTAATTGATAAAAAGTTTAAAGCTAATCAGTGACATTTCAAAACCCTTAGTTTTACTTTAGCATCTTAAGTTGCAATATTTGTACATATTTCAGTTTGAGAGGTTCATTTATTATTTAGCCTGTAGCCCATATTAACATAAAAGTGGGTGTTCTACCCCATCCCTTTTATAACTGGCAACCCAAAGTCATAGTGAATAAAAATGTTTTACAATGCTTCAGGAAGACATACTTTTGGCAAATCTCCAGGAGAGGAAAATTCTATTTTTTTTTCTTTTTGAAATCTGTTTTTACAAATGTTTATTATACCCTTTGCAAAAAAGCATTGTTGTAAAAACCTAGGGACTGCATTGACAAGCTGAAGTTTCTTTATGGTAGTACTTTCTATGGTAAAATTGACATTTTCTGTCTTTCTAACCCATATTAGATATTTAAATGATTTCTATGAATTGGAGCTACAGCATGGATCTGGAGTCATAGGCTGGACTATTCCAGTGACCAGAGGAGTTTTGCCATCTCCCAGAGAATCTCACACAGCTGTTATATACTGTAGAAAAGACTTGGGAAATCCAAAAATGTTTGTATTCGGAGGGATGTCTGGTTGTCGGCTTAATGACCTTTGGGAGCTTGATATAGGTGAGTGCAGTTGCAAGTAAAATTGTGCTTTTTAAAAAAATGTTTAATTTTTTTTAAAAATATACTAAGGAATGATTAATTCTGAAGGATTCGTAGTGTGATGGGAAAGTGTACATCAATTTTAAAGTTATTGTTAAGCTTCAACTCTACCTTAATGCTATTTCTTACAGTACACAGCAAAACAAGCAGTTTTGCTCTAATGGATAATTGTAGCCAGTCCTTAGACTCATGAAAAGTAGATATATGATGCCACTTTTTAAAAAAAATCAGTTTGTTGCATTAACTTTTAATACTGATAACACAACAAATGTTTTTTAAGAAACTGTACTGATTTTTCAAAAGTATGTCAAAATATTCATTGTTTCTCTGGCAGTAATTGTTTAAAAACAAAATAGCCTTGATTAAAAGTTTTGAGAGATGGCTTTGTCTTTTAATGCTTGTTATGCAAATATAATAATCATTGGTAGGGTACCACAGACTCTAGAATTAAAGGTGGATAATAGTGGCACTGGTGTTATGGGGAATGTACCATTTCCAAAGCTTGCTAGCATTGACATGAACAAGTTGCCCAGGAAAGTCAGTATTGCTCAAAGATCCTCTTTGAGGGATGAAATGCAAGTGCAAAACTAATGGTTGCAATTTTTGTTTTTATTTTGCTTGGCTATAATCTTCCATAAAACTTTATATTTGGAACTTTGATCCTGAAAAGTCTAAGGAAGATTACCAGTTTTCAAAGCACGTAGCACTGAAAGATAGAGTTCCACCATTTAAAATACTACCTTCTAAGGTAGCCACTGTAGACTTTGTTGGTGGGTATGTATTTGTGCATATTGTAACTAACCTTTTGTGCCTACAAATGTACTTTTCAACAATAACCCTCCTTAGCATCTGTCTGTACATGACAAATTTCCTGAAATCTGAAAAATGATATCTTATGAGAGTGTCCTACATAAGTGTTCATGAAATTAATTCCTTCTATATGCTTTCTCTGTTTTTTTTCCTTAATAGAGACAATGACTTGGTCGAAACCAGAAACTAAAGGGACAGTGCCACTTCCCCGTAGTCTCCATACAGCCAGTGTAATAGGAAACAAGTATGTCTGTTGTTAAAAGCTCACCTATAGAAAGGTACACCTAGTAGGAGACTGTTACTCTAGTGTTTGAATTTAGGGATCCTGCTTGTATGTGAAATGCAGTGAGCTTCAGCCCTGTGAGAAGCTTGTATACAGATTAGGGGATCTAACTATAGACCTCCAAGAAACCGAAATGGATTTCTTAAACATATGGTTTTTATTTGGGGACATATAATCCTCTGCGCATGACCTGAAATTTAATCAGAAAGCCCATGGCGTCTTTTAGAAAGGAAAAGAAAAAGACAAAGAGCTTTGAACATAGGGAAAGGCGTACTTTTGCATTGATGATAATATATGTTGTTGCATTAGGAGGGGGAAAAGACTTTATAGCATGAAGTAGCATAAGAGAGTAATGCTAATGTCATATTTCTAGAAGTTGCTATTTAATAACCAATTCACATGGTTGTTTAAGATGTAGCAGGATTATTCATGATAAATAAGAACTTGCAGTTGATTGCTATCATTGATAATACTGCTTTTTTATAACATATATCGTGTTTTCTAGCCCTATTATCTCATTGGAGATTGGGGTTATACAATGTAGCACATATTCCTGTGTCCTTTTAAGCCCATCCCCTAAGCCTACACTTTTTGGCCATTACATTTCTATGCATATTTCATATCTAAGTTTGAGTCATGTGATCTGCATATCACCCCTGCTAGTGTGATGCTCAATATGTATATAAAACTCAGAGGAGCTCAGAAACGGGATAGATGGAATATTTGTTTCTCTACAATCACTGTGCATCAGGTGTTGCTAGAAATCTGACTAGGACTCAGGACAAGGATATTTGCCTCTGAACTCCACTAGTGCACTGGACACCAAATACATGTATTCTGTAAGGTAAACATCCTACATTGTGCACTTTTATTTATTTGATTTATATAGAGTCAATTGTGTGAGATGGGCAGCTTACAAAGATTAAAACACAGAAAACCATATTTAACCCCCAGTGTCCAAGGGTAAACAATAGCCCACTCACCAACACCCCCCCAATCAATAACAACAGAGCTGATCTACCCATTTGACCCAAATGCCTGGGAAACAGCCAGGTCTTCAGTGCCTTGTGAAAAGCTGACAGGGTTGTGTCCATCCAAATCTCCAGGGGGATACTGTTCCACAAGGCAGGTGCTGCCACTGAGAAGGCATGGCTCCAGGATCCAGCAAGATTATATTGTCTGATAAAAGGGACTCAGAGCATGCCCCCTCTACTAGATCTGGTGGGCCGAACAGAAACAGTGGGAGAAAGGTGATCCCCAAGAAGCCTGTCCCTATGCCCTAAGAGCTTTATGGGTAATAACCAGTATCTTGAATCACACCCAGGAGCCTACTGAGAGCCAGTACTGCTTGCGGAGCCATGGTGTTTTGGGGGCATAATGAGACATACCAAGAACTACCTGTGCTGCTGCATTCTGGACCAGCTGCAGCTTCTAAGTGCTCTTCAAGGGTTAGAAGCATGTTATATCTAGAATCTACATCTACAGCGTGTTATAGTAATCTGGACAGGAGGTGACTAATGGATGGGTCACCATGAGTGAGGCCTCCAGGTCCAGGAATGAGTACAACTGGTACACAAGATGAAGCTGTATAAAAGCCTCCCTGGCCATAGTTGCCATCTGCTGTTTGAACAGGAGCCAAGAGTCCCGGAAGACTCCCAATCTTCTTCTTTTTTGGATATATTTATTATATGAATAACATCTTCTTATGCGAAACTTCCAAACAAGTGATTAACTGTATTGCTACAGAATCAAATGCCCTCCTATCATCTACTAGATCCTTGTTTTTTACATTCATCGGATATAATCCCTTCTTGTCACCCACTGATAACTGAAGAATGTTGTTTAATTTAAATATGTATAATGATTGTGCTATGTGTGGGAATGTATCTAATGATCTAATGTATTAATGATACATTCTTAGATTTAGTAATAGGTAATAACCAGTGTAATAGGTAATAACCTGTGACCACAGATATTATGATTGTGTGTTATGATGTGTATGTGTGCCTTCAAATCAGCCTTGACTACAAGTCTCTGCAGTTTTCTTGACATTTTTGGATGTGGTTTACCCTTGCCTTCTTCCTAGGTTTGAGAGAGAGTGACTGGCCCAAAATCCCCCAGCTGGCTCCATGCCTAAGACAGGACTAGAACTCACAGTTTCATTTCCCACGCTTTTAACCACTACACCAAATTAACTTTCTACTATGATGTAGTTATATACAAAGATGGTGGACTGTGGAATTCAGCCACCTTGTGAGGGAAATTCTGCACTATCTCTATGTTATCATGTTCTTCATTAGTATGGCCTAATAGTTTTAAGACTGGCTTGTTGCTAGAGACAATCAGATTTTAAAACAGTTTGTACTACCATTCATTTAAAAAAAAAAAAGATTTTCTGTGTGGAAAACAAGGATGATAAGAAAACAAGGGGAAGATAGTGTTTGGACCTCCCTCTACAAAAAATCCTGAATGAAACAGTGATTTCATACTTTGAAAAACATTGTTTGAAAGCATGTGAGTTCTTCTTTCAGAAATAGGTAGTTAGCCCAGCATGATTCTGTTATACTCTATTGTCCAAATACTGTGGTGTTTTAATGTATGTTTTTATAGTTATTCATGCTTATGGCACTATCCTGCTAAGTTACAATGTGATATTTGTTTTAAGTTTAGTGTGTTGAACCTAGCCATTGTGGCTTATAAGCCATGATTTATGGCTCAACATATTCATAATTTAAACAAATCATGGCTGAATAAGCTAAGGATTAATGAAATTTATGAAGCCAGTTGCAATTGTTCTGTTCTTTTAAAATTAAGGCATAATGAGATTAAATTAATACTGCATTATTTAATTGCAGCTTCTAAAGCAACTGTAATAATCAGTTATGTGTTTAATACCTTTGTTAAAATCTAGCAGGCAAAGACAGTCCACTGCCAGTATTACTGGCTCTTACTTAATTTATTTGAATGTGTCTCAATGTATGGCTTGGGAGGATTGGAGGAATGGAAAAGGGAATTAAGCTCAAGTTCTAGCTGGGAAATAGTTTGTGTGTAGCTTGTATGGAGAAATAAAGCTCAGAAATTAATGGTGCTTATGTCTACCCTCGTTCTGTTCCTGTCTTCACCCTCCATTTCCTTATATTTGCAGAATGTACATTTTTGGTGGATGGATCCCACAGAGTACAGATGAGAACCTCCCTTCTCAAGATGGGGAGTGGAAATGTACTGGCTCATTTTCTTACTTAAATTTAGGTTAGTATACTTCATTGTTGTCATTTTACAGCAGTGTTTCTCAACCTTGGCCACTTGAAGAAGTGTGGACTTCAACTCCCAGAATTCCCCAGCCAACATGTTGGCTGGAGAATTCTGGGAGCTGAAGTCCACACATCTTCAAGTGGCCAAGGTTGAGAAACACTGCTTTACAGAGTAACCCTGCATACAACCTATGTCAGCATGGGACATAATCTGCTATCACTTTTCTGCATTGTGCATAGCAGAGATTCCACTATATTGGATAACCTTCAGACAACAGATTTCTACAAATAATATGGTGTGTCCTTAAAATAACACTAGGAAGTTGTAACCAGGGTTAAACCAATGCATTTTACTTATATTACTTAATTTTATATTAAGCAGCTATCGCTCTGTTGCTGTGTTATCAGAGGCAGCTACAGGGAAGAGGGCAAGGGAGTGGTTGTGAATCTAGTTTGCCTATCAGACCCCACAAGGCAGGCTACAAGTTTACAACCCACATCCCTTTGGGTGAGAGATGGCTTTCTTACATGTATATTCTCAAAGTCCAATTTTCCAAGCTCTGTCCTCTGCTGGAGATAGAAGAGGGTTGGTCCTTTTGAAACAAAAGCAGAAGTTGGCAATAGTCTGTGGAGCCCAGCTGGCAAAGAGTGGGATTCTTCATCTCTCCTGCAGACTCTGAATGACACGTGAGACCCCAAGAAGCTGGGGAGGTCCAGGGAATTGAAGCAGGAGAAAATATTCTTCAGGTCATTGCAGTTTCTGTAGAAACAGATAAAATGCTTAGCCAAGAATTAGCATTAGGTTTATGATTTCTGTTTGCTGTGTTATGGTGAGTCTAAGTCTCTCTCTGGCTCTGTATACAGGTTAGGAAATAGGGTGTTTGGTTCCAGCCTTAATGTATATCTCAAATTATGTTTATGAAGCTAATCTTCTTGTGATCCGTAGTACTTCTTGTGTGATCCATAATATTATGGGCACAGAACTTTCCGTTTGTAGCAGACTAGTGTCATCTTGTGGTCTTTTTAGAGCATTGTGTTTTCTTTTGGATTTTGTTCTTTTTAACAAGTTGCCAGCAGTGGTATATGATGATATGTGCAGCTTTGTAATTTATCTTCTTCAAAATTGAATGCTTGCATTTTAATACTTAAAAGGTATGGTTTCTTACATTGTCTCTTTTCTTTTAATAAAGGTTGTGTTTATATCTCCTGTGATATTGATGTATCTCCCAAAATGGGGAAAGAAGGGGTGAAGCGTCTAGTCATTGTCCTCTTATGACACACTGCCAGGAGGTGGCATTAATGAAATGATTTCCATGTTTTGCATGTTCACCTTTTAATTGCCAGAAAGGCAGCACAGGGTGTGAGAACTCTGTCCAATTTAATATATGTGCTGCTAAAGCAAGCAGGGAGAGTCCATATGCGGGGGAGGGGGGAGGGGGGAGGGAGGATGACAGGTGAAGTACCTTTGGGAAGTTAGCTGGTGGCATCAGGAACTACTGAACCCCAAAGTAGGAGTCAGGGCCAAGGTGTGAAGACTCAGAAGGCTTCTAGGAAAACAGGCTTTGAGGACTGCCCAAAGAATGTACTTGAAAGGATGGATATCAGATTTTCTTTGTTGGAGGTATAAAACCTTTGAGAGTTCTTTGAACCATATGATATGGTCCTGTGATTATTTGGTACTTTTTGGGAATACTATTTTGATGTGTAGGATTTTCTGGTTTATTTTGTATCCTGCCTCCAATGAACAGTGGTAAGAATGAACTTGCTCATTATGAGTTAGTGTGTATTAAGCAGTCAGTGTAGAGTTAATTTTTGCTAATAATGCAGTCAAATATTAATTTATTTTTCTTTAAATTGTTATCAGATACTACAGAATGGATAAATCTAATCCCAGATTGCCAAGAAGATAAAAACAATTTGTTACCAGGTCCAAGAGCTGGCCACTGCGCAGTCATTGTTGGCTCTCGCTTGTATATATGGAGCGGCAGAGATGGATACAGGAAAGCTTGGAACAATCAAGTTTGCTGCAAAGATCTTTGGTATCTAGATACAGGTAAATGGGCTACCTAATACTTTCTGATAACATTATTGATGGTGATAAAAACCTAGGTAAAATTAAATGTATTTGACTTTCTGGCTTTGAAACTTTAAAAAATCAGTTACATAATAGAAATATGCAAGAATTGCTTTGCTCTGGGCCTCCATACTTAGGCTGCATTTGCACAATCCACTGAAGCATGGTTAGCTTGTGGTTAGTGTGTTCTGAGAACCCAGGCAGTTAAGTTAGTTCAGTAAATAATGATTCACTTAGCCATGGATTTGTACATTGTCTGAACACAATTCTGGGCTTGGTTCAATTCTAACATTTCTGCCTTGTAGTTTGAAAAATTAAGAGAATACTATATGCCTGCATATCTTCACCCCTTCCTTCCCAGCTTGCTTACTTGAGCAAACCATAGTTTTCTTTATCAAAACTGGGCAAACAAATGATAGTGAGGAATTTCACGTCTGTGCGTTCAGGTATTGGGAGGGAATCCCTGGGGGAATTCTGGGAATTGAAATCCACACAACTTAAAGTTGCTGAGATCAAGAAACACTGTCTTAGAGCTTTTGATGTCAGATAGGTTTGGATTATCTTTAGAACGTTAATGTTCCTTCTCCTCATCTGAGAGCTTGCTAGAATAAAAACTTTTTTCTGTAGCACACTGTGTATATAATTATTTTATTAGAAAATTTTAGATTTCCTTTAAAAAGACTTATATTTTATTGTAATTGGAATGTACTCTTCTCCTTTAAGAGAAACCACCAGCACCATCACAGGTACAACTAATCAGAGCTACAACTAATTCATTTCAAGTTAAATGGGATGAAGTTCCTACTGTTGAAGGATACCTTCTTCAACTAAATTTAGATACGCCAACACCTGTTGCAGCTGAAATACCCATTACTGTGGCACCTGAGCCACGATCGCCGTGTGTGCAAGGTAAAGTAGCACATTTTCCAAAATAAAAGCAAGTTTATAAGTTACATGAGTAAAATAATTGCAGGATTTTCTTTCTTTTATAGCAGGGGTGGACAGCTACCCAAAATTATACCATCAAATGTTGATGACAACTGCAGCAAAAAAAGTAAAACAAATTTTTTTCTTTTCAGTAGGAAAAACTGGTGCTCAAGCGCTTTTTATGCGTCTTTTTAAGGTTTAGCTTTCCGAGAAAGATTTAGAAACCCTAATACCCCTAAAAATAGTAACAACCCAGAAGTCACTATCCCCATTCATAACAGCAATCCTTTTTTAAAAAAATTAAGGGGGAAAGAAGTGGATGTTTTATCCATAAAGGTGCCTATCTTTGTTTTAATGCCTGCATGTGTTAATGTTAGGGTATTTTAGAAATATGGTCGTTTTTCCTGTAGCCCCCAAATCTCTCTAGGGCTGAAATGAAAGTCTAGCAACAACTGAGCAATGCTATCCTGTGTTGGGTTAGGCATTGGGGGAGGCAACACATGGATCCATATTCAGAAATCAAGAATTCTTCTGATTTATGGTTTTGATGATTAGACAGGATAGATTATAGAAAAGAGTAATATGTAACTTTAGAGAGAGAGGTTAAAATATATTTGTACTTATAACTGCTGTGAAAAATATTGGAAGCCACTTTATATCTTTTCTATTTTTCTTCATTTTTTGCTTTTCTTGCCCTTTTTGTTTTTATTATTTTTCTTTTTTCTTCCTTTATATTAGTTTGTATTAGCTTTTATCTTCTTGTTTAGAAGCTTTAATAAAAATTATATTAAGAAAAGAAATCAAGAATTCTTGCTCATAGTCTGAGGCATGCTAAGAGGTATCAGTCATTTCAGAAGTCAAAGCAAAACTGAACCTGGGTCCTAGTCTGATGAAATTCCAGAAGGTAATAGCAAAATAATGAAATAAAAGTAAGAGAACAAAGAAGTAGTACAACAGAGGCTTTAAAAAAAAAAAAAAGATGATGCTTCCAGCAATCTGCTGCTGCTTGTTCTTATGGCAAAGCTAAGCCAGCCAGCAATGAACTGCTCCCAAATGGTTTTGTACTGAGGGCTGTAGTTATCAGGACTGTGCACTTCTAGAAGGTGCTCAGAGCATAGAGGAGTACAAATGTAGTACCTGTATAAAGCAGCCATACCTTTTCCCATGGGAAAGAGACACAGGTTACTTTTGTACTCCAAGGTGCTTCAAAATACCCTTGAATTTCAAATCAAAAGAGTTGCAGAGCTATAATAGCTATGAGCCCTACCTCACAAAGCTTGTGCTCATCAAGTCTGATCTAGCTGCATAGCAGGGCTACCAGATCTGGACTGTAAAAATTTATATGACTACTAGATGGTACAACAAACTTTTGGTATTTCTTTGCTGCCATTGAACATCTATCTGCACTTTTGTAGTTCAGACATGGTGGCCATACTCTTGAGTGTATCTTATTCTCAAGACACTGTTGTTCTAATAGAATGCTGTGATGGTTCTTTGCCTGGCACTGTTCATGTGGGTTAGGTGGCAGTACCAGTAAGTCTGAATTACAGTTTCCTGGAGTGTCTGTTGTTATTTGGGATTGATTCTGGCCCAGACTCTGTTCTAGGATGTTGCTTATCTGTTGGAGGTGGCTCCATGTAATCACCTAACCTATCTTCTTCAGATCAGACTATAGTAAGCAAAACACAAAGTGATATAAGCACCCAATTGGTCTTGCAAAGTTTCATTTTATGGTGTACCTTTCAAATGTCAGAGGAGTCCCACAACAAACCACAAGATTTCAAGGATGGGAAGAAAACATCATGCAGATCTTTGAAGCAACCTGAACCTATTGATTCTGAACAGTACTCTTTCTCAAAGAAACTTAAGCCAGAAGTGCAAATCTTTAAAAATGTTGTTTGAGCCTCAGATCAACCCATCATATACATTAAAAAAATCATAATTGATTAAGCTCCATGTTTTCTGAGATGACTAATTTCTTCTGAATCATCAGTCCTCATTCCACGATTGGGGTTGGCTGATTGTTACTGGCAGAAGATTAAAAAATGAAGGCAAAATGGAATTGTTCCCCTCCTCTTTTAAAAATTCACCTGAGACCAAAACTTCCTGCTCCTGATTGGTTATTTAGAGTTAGAGCTTCACAGGCTTTGCTGAATTCTGCCCACTATCTAGATGGGTTAACTCATTCATCTCAGAATCTGTGGGAGTATCTTCTCTCCTTTCACTACAGATCATTTGTACATTTACATGGAAGAGGATTCCTTTTTTTTTTTTTTTGGCAGCAAATTCTACAACTAATGAATATTGTCCTTCTTCTAGGAACTAAACTGGATCTCCACTCCCAAACCCTCAGTGCCTCAAGCAATGTAAGTTAATACTGTGAAGAGTATTGCTAGGAATTGCCCAAGTAATATGAATATGTGCTCAAAAATTGTAGTTTAGTTGGTCTATATGATTTAGTTGCTCTACAAAACCCTTATTACCTAATAGCTGTTTTAAAGCCCGAATTCTAATTTTGCCCAGTCAAAACTCCCCAGGGCTGACTCACACGTACCAACTGCTTCCAAAAGAATAACTAACATGCAAAAGTTATACACCCAGGAAACCAGCAGTATGGTGATACCACTGATGCTGGTACCCAACCAACCAACCCACCACACCTATCTTTCCACTGCTTTCCTAACCAACCCACAGATCCAATAGAGGCATCTCCTGGTAGGGCAAGCCTATGCTCCCATCCTAAAGGCTCTCTAACTCTTGTTCTTTCACCCCAAGTGAGGACCTGCCTCAAGCCTCTTTGTAACCCACCCAAAGTAGCATCTAACCCAGGCTTGCCATCAGACCCACTGGAGAGATACTAGGCCCCTGGACCCAGTTCCTAGATGGATTTTCTAAAGGGGTCTCTATATCATCATTACACTACATCGCTGCCATGTTAAAAATACAATTCAGTGACAACTTTTAGAGTGGATTTGGAAGCCCAGTCCAAGGCTTTTTGAGGTTATAGGTTGCATATCCTGCTTTTGTGCTGGGAGCATTTCCCCCTACACACAGCAGCATGTGGAAGAAAGTAGTAACAGGAGCTAGCTTTCATTTGATTAGGGGCCAAAGTTCCCCTTTTCTGTGTGAACCAATTAGAATTCTCCTTCAGCAGAATGAGCAGCAGAGCTCTTGTTGAATCCCCCTCTCAAAAAAATTTCAGCTGTTAGTTCCTATATAGACTATAAATTATATGGAAACTACTTTATTACAAATGAGGCAAAAGAGTCATAAAGCTGTTGCTTTCCAACCTGGAGCAGAAATAGAGGATTCCTTAGATGCTGACCGCCATAAACATAGCTGTTATTACAAAGAAATTGGTGCTTGTCCTCCCTGTCTAGGTGCAAATTTCCATTTCAGAGGCTAAAGCAAAGATTCCAGAAACTGAAAATGCGAAGAAAAACCATTCCGTTTCCAAAGAGTCCAATGCCCCTTTATGTTTGCCTGCTAGCACTTTAGGTAAGCAGCACTAAGTTGAAACTTATTTGTCAGATGTTGTTCCAGATATATGTGGGACAGGAATGGATGTTAATGTTTTGATTTTTACTAATGACCTATTTTTGATGGTCACACAGTCAGCCAGATGTTTAGACTGGATTTGGCATTTTTATCCACCTATCAAGTC